GAGCGCGCAGAGAGAGCGCGCAGAGAGAGCGCGCAGAGAGAGCGCGAGAGATAGAGAGATAGAGAGAAAGTAACGTGCGTATACCGTCAAGCCGCACTTGATATAATATGTAGTGCGGCGATATCGCGTGGCCGCCGCGTTCTGTGTCCACTCACAATACATACACACAGCGCACGCCCGCCCTCCCGCACGCTCGCACGCACGCCCGCACGCACGCGCGCACGTCCGCACGCACGCACGCACGCCTGCACACATGCTCGCACGCCCGCCCGCCCGCACGCACGCACGCGCGCCCGCCCGCCCGCACGCACGTATGCACGCACGAACGAACGCCCGCCCGCCCGCACGTACGCACGCACGCTCTCCTGTTGCGTATGTTGGGTTTAATATCGTCTCACACACTATACGCAGACCGCGCCGCGCCGCCGCCCAAGGACAAATTTTGGCTGCGCACGCGGTTAAGAGAAAACGAAATGTACCCCCGCTCGCAGTAACATGTTAGCAAGAACAATTAAACCGCGTGTTACGAAGGAATATCACGTGAGGGTGTGAGGATTCTTTTCCCGGCATGCGATAGTTTGAGGGGAGGGCGGTAGTAAGCACACGGTTGTGTGAGAGAGAAGTTGGGGGAAGTGTCAGCGTAGGGCGCGGGTGCGTTTCGCTGACGTCTGGAAGAGAAATATCAAGTAATAAGTAGAAGTGAAGAGATTTCCACTTGGACAAGGGATGCCACACGCACTGTCTAGTACCGGGCCAGAAAAAAGGCATGTTGATAGAATTAATTAAATAGAACTAATTAGAATAGCGAGAGAGAGACGGGAAACATTATTTGAGCCGAGCGTGCTTTGTTCCTTGTGTCTGGCGTCATGCACGGGTTCGGATATGTCATGGCCGCGCTAGAATGCTATACACTCGGCATGCACGGTATCGGTTACGTTTCGTTTGTACGGACCTGCAGTTCTGATTGCGTTTAATGTTATGTGCACATGTAGCATGTTGAAGGTGCTCCTAAATATTGAATATTATTGTTGCAGTTTCTGTGTAGAGTGTAGACTATAACAATTTGTCGCAAACACAGCAGTTTGTGACAATTATATCATTATATTATTATTATTATATTTTCAATTTGTTTTTGAGGGCGAGAAAAAATGCGAAGATGAGAGTGCGAGATGCGTGTACGGGAGTGCGCGCGTGTGCGCGTGTATGCAAGTGTGCGTGTATGTTAGTGTGTTTTGAGTGTGTGCGTGTGTGCGTGTATGGGAGTGTATGAGCGCGTATGCGAGTGTATGCAAGTGTGCGCGCGTGTGTGCGCGTGTATGCGAGTGTGCATGCGTGTATGCGAGTGTGTGCGTTTATGACAGTGTGTGCGTGTGCGGTGCACGTGTGTGCGCGTGTATGCGAGTGTGCATGCGTGTATGCGAGTGTGTGCGTTTATGACAGTGTGTGCGTGTGTGCGTGCATGCGAGTGTGCGCGTGTATGGCAGTGTGCGCGTTTATGAGTGTGTGCGTGTATGCATGCAAGTGTGTGCGTGTATGCGAGTGTATGAGCCCGTATGCGAGTGTATGCAAGTGTGCGCGCGTGTGCTCGTGTATGCGAGTGTGCGTGTATGTGAGTGTGTGCGTTTATATGAGTGTGTGCGTGTGCGTTTATATGAGTGTGTGCGTGTGTGCTTGCATGCAAGTGTGCGCGTGTATGCGAGTGTGCGCTTGGATACGAGTGTGCGCGCGTGTTTATGCGAAATTGAAGCGGAAGAGAGGAGAGGGGAGAGAGTGAGGCGGAAAAAAGGAGGGGAAAAGAGCGAGACAGAGGAGAATGAGACAAAAGGGAGGATAGAGAAGAGTGCATGTGTATTATGTGTGTAATCGCGTATGTCATGATTGTGAGTGCAATTAATGTGCAACTGCTCTTGAAATAACTCTAAAAACTGTTTTTATTTAGTTAGCGAGTGTCCCGTCGTATTGTATTCGGTCTTTGATTGGTCTAATCCTAAACGCATCCACCAATTAGCGATTGCATAACACAGCGTGCTCGTACGCACGTGTAGTAGTAATGTCAGTGGGTTGAGGTAGGGTCCCTATATACAGAGACCCTAGGTTGAGGTATGACGATGGCAAATCAACCAATGAGCATTGGGACAGGTTCAGAATGAGTTTGCATTAGAGTGTCTACGTGCGCTAGAATTTTGTATTTCTTATTAGAAAGGGTTCTAACTGTTTGCAATTGTTAATTTCAGAAACTAGAATGTTTTCTGATTCCGACAGTGTAAACGGCTTGTCCGAGGTGCGTTGCTGGGGCGGCCCAGGAATTTTCAAATAAAGCCTACTTTTTGTGCAGATTCACATTGTAAATTGGCCATTTCTAGTGTGTGCTGGCAAAAGTTTGTTTACAAGAGAAATTATTGAAGAATTTTTTTGTTAATAACATATATGGTGTCACTTGCGACTTGGATTCAGAGGATGGCATTATTATTTGTAAAAAAAGAAATTTGGCTGATTAATGGGAATTTTTTCGTAAGTATGGTCGCCTATGGGAAATCATTTCCCAGTGTGATACCTTAACTCGTGTTGTAAATAAATGTTATTATTTCCCGTATTTTCCGTTACATTTGCGTGTCGATCGAAAACAAAGCAATAAAGCCAGATTTTTTTTTGCTGCAAAATTTTGGACATTTTAGCCTTGTTATAATTTAATAGCATGCGTTCTGTTTGCAAAAATCAAGTACAGCAAAAAATGGCATAAAAACCACTGTTGGTTGTATCTGGTGTCTGACCATATGCACATCATGTACTGAGACGAGTGCCTATAGCTCTCCCCCCTTCCGAAAAGCTACAGAAAACAACTTACCCCCTCCCCCCTCGAAAAGCCTTGACCCACCCCCCCCGAAAAGCTATAGTTCTTGAGCTTGCCCGGCTGCAACAATGCGGTCTGTGGCTACTTGCTTGCACTCTGTCAGTGTGTTCTAAAACTTAATTACATCCTAACTCTAAGTGAGATTACTGATTAACTAATAGTACAGATCAGTGTGTGATGAGAATGCACGCAGATAGACGTGAACTTGTTGCGACGGTTATCGAGTATGCTGTGGCTATATGCCTGGCAGTCGGGCACGGTCTTCGATTTCCTAAATGCTCAGCAGTTCCTAACCCTAACCCTAACCTTAGCCCTAACCCTAACCCTAACCCTGACCCTAACCCTACCCCTACCCCTAACCCTAACCCTAACCCTAACCCTTGTTTACTTGAGATAATGCGGAAAATTAAAAACTGCCGGGCATTTAGGAAATCGAAGACCGTGCCCGGCAGCCGTCAGATATATCCCGGCTGCCGGGCATATAGCCACTGTTCCTGTTCTATAGGTACTTCTACAGACTGACTGGCTGGTTGCTGAAGGTGCGTGCGGCCACTGCGAACTCGTACTTCTTCCCCTGTACATGGTGGCATGCTGCAGACTTGACAGCCTTGCAAGGGATCTCTTTCGCACTGCTGGCGTACCTTGTTTTCTCACGTGAGATCGGCACCACCACAGGTAAGACTGGGCGGCACAGTCTTTGACAGACTGGTTTCGTATCTAAGCGACCTATCTTCGATTCTGCAGCCGGTTGTATCTCAGGTTGGAACTGCCCTCGCTTTGCACCAGGTGGCGAATTATGCAATGCTTTTGTGAAGCGGACAGAGAAGAGTAGAGAAATCCAATGCCGCTCGAACGGCTGTCGGCGTCGAGCGCCTCCATCCTACTGTTGCATTCCTATTGCGTGCCAGCAGAGTCGAAAGTGCTCTTTAACCGTTGTTTCCTTGAGCACTTGTCCCGAGCTTTTTCGGAGGCTGCATCAGCCTGGGCCGTGACCCTTACGGGCATGTCGTGACCTTTGACGAGCAGATTTCTCGTGTTTTACAAGCGATTTATGATTGGTTTAACTCTTCGGCGATTTCCGGCATAGCCAAAATGCTGCTTGGGGGGGAATAAATGGGAATGAGCATCAGCAGAGTTGTCTGTTACACAGGTTTTCAGTGAAAAAAAATCAGTTCTACGTCATTTGTGCTGCGTTAAGTGCTGGCAAGCATTGCCCTGTACGAAACACACAGGCTGCGTTTTGCAGTAGCTGAAGGGATGTGCAGCACTTTTTCTCTGATAAGAAATGCAGCTACTGTAATTGCTTGTTTACTATGGAATGTTACTATAAAGCTGCCACCTGCTGATAGAGACAGACTGACGCCACGTTCTTTTGAGTATGAGCAATTAACTATTGAAAATATACGAAAACATGGGTTTGGGGAATTTATTCTTGAAAATCAGAGGTCAAAAGGTCAAACTTAAAACTGTTAAATTCTAATTGAGAGGTGTCCACTACACCGTTGTTATGAAAACTGATAGTTGATATCGTCTTCTTTTTTGTTGCATTGCAGTTCGAAAGTCGACAAAATTCGAGGTTTTAGCCAGCCGGCGACCAAACAGAGAGGGGACGTCGAGCCACGGATTCATTCATCATATAAATGGTAACTGGCATGCACGAATAACTTTTTTTCCACCGTGACGTCACAACGTGTTAAAGTTAGCATATATGGAAGCGAAAGATTTTTAGCAGAAAAAAATCATCTG